TACCAGGCTCTCCTGCCCATCTTTCCCAGCTCTCAGCGCTGCTCTAAATCAGTCCAGCTCAATGACAAGGGATGGCCATTGATGGTGCTGTGCAGGGTTTAGGAAGAGCTCCATGGCTGCTCCTAATGGTTCCCCCCCAGGCTCTGCCACGTGGCACCAGGACACTGCCCATGCATGGGTCTGTAAGGGCATTATCCCCCATGGGAATGAGGCACCAGAGCCAGCCCACTGCCAGTGCCAGTATGAGCTTGCTCTTCTGGGCCATGAATAATTCCTTGTCAACTGTGTTTCCCAGAGCAAGGGGAACCAAGTCATGTTTATTCCTGCCTTTATGAGTTATCAGGGCTTTCTGGCTCTGTCACTGTAGGTGCCCATTTCCTGTCCCTGACTCAACCGCTGTGACTTCTTGGGCTCACACATCTAAATGTCTACCAAAATAAAAGGGTCTTTTCTCTCTCCATGCTTTACCTTTTCTCTCTGCATTTTAATTTGTACCTATTGTTTCTGGTGCTCTCCTGGTCCTCTTTGGGAAGCTTCCGGAAGACCTCCATCTCAAGAAATTAGAGACCAGTACATGCTGGGGAAATTTCTCATAACATTTCTTCCTCAGCCCTGCACTAGCAGAAGGCAATGAATACCCATAACTATCTCCCAGCCTAGGTACTGGCTCTGTCTCCTTGTGGGAAGGACACATGGACCTTCTGAAGGGGGTGAGAGCTGTGGATCATCTCAAGACAACGGGTCCATCCACACAGATTTACAAAAAGCAGTTTTTGAAAATTTTCTGTGTTTATCCATTTCTCCACAGGACAACAAAACCCCACATCTCTGATAGTGGCAAGGTTCAAAGATCAAGCCCTCAGTCTGATGCAGGATGTCCTCCTCAGCTACATACTAAAACACACGAGCCTGGGAGCAACAGCACTCCCTCAGAGAGAAGGTCCATTTGGCCCAATTGTCTGTCTCCAAAGTGGCCAAGCAACAATATCTAAAGGAGAGCACCTGAGCAGTGCAAGTCTGCTTCTGTCAGTGTCCTTGGCAGAAATGGGCACACCTCCAGCATGGATCATGCTGAGCTGGGACAAGCTGCCTGGGCCCTTGGCAGGAGACGGTGGGGGTAGCGGTCTCGGGAGGCCAGTCCCAGACACTGAGGCCTGTGAGCACCCCCAGGACCCCATACTGTAATATCAATTATTTAAATGCTTGTGGTTTTAAACTCCTTTCCCACATGAAAGGTTCAAGGTCTTCACATAAAAACAAAATATAAGTTAAATGAAACACATTCCAACATTTTCTTCTGTACTCCATAAAGGTAGTCATGTGACTAGAGGATTAAAAATTATAGAAGAAACCTCACAGCAAGGACCTTGTTCTAAGCCGTGGCTCTTCTGCCTGCTGTTACTTTAAGCAAATAGAAGCATTTAATGGACCAAGTGCATTGTCCCACTCAGACAAGTGTACTGCCCTAATAAAAACCACGTTCTTGGAGCAGGATGCATTATGCCCTTATCTCTTTTCATTGGAACAAAAGGAACCAGTATCAGAAGAGCAACTCTGCAGCGGTCTCTTATGTACTGTTGCCCTCCATGTAGGATCATGTGGGCTTGGTCATTAAAACCCACACTCCAGGCACCTTATCTATGAATTTGGGTATTTATCATTTACTAAATTTATAAGAAGTCAATGAAGGATGTTCATACTGTATTGCAGATTTACAATATGCTGCAAAACCAGAAGCAGTGGTAATAACTGTATTATTAGCTACTTTGTCTCATGAACAAAAAAAATTACTCACCTAACAGCACTGGGGCAACCAAATTCTCTGTCTTCGTTCATGTTGGATGCAGCATAAGTCTGTCAGAAGCAGCTAAGGGTATCTAGCATTTACTTCCTCAAGTCAGTTCTGACACTCACAGGGGTTACAACCACCCACAACAAACTGCTATCCATGGGTACAGTACATTATTTTTAACCGCTCCTTTAACACTTCCACAGGCTATTTCAGTCGGCATTTTGGCAGTTAGCAGATAAAACAGAAGGATTACTGTTTTAGATTCATTCTTTAGAGATGACTAGTATTTAACACATTAGTCTGGTACCATTTCAGCCAACAGGTCTGATTTGTTACACTGAAAAAACCCCAAATCTATAAGTTTTTCTTCACAAAAGAAGCAAAAAGCAAAAATAACTGTAACAGAAGCATACTAAGTGTGCTGAGCTCAGCTGAAAACAAACACTAATTCATTACTTTCGGGACCTCATCCAGTGCCTAAAATATAACACTCAAACTACTGGTTATCATCATGCCTCCACTCTTAGCCAGGACATCCATGGGGCACAAGCTCTGTCATACCAGATCCTCTCCTTTGTGCCTGGGATACTGACAAACAATAAGCTGTCACAGAATTAATCAAGAACAAGAAGGTAGAAAATGGACGACTCTAGACTTCTGCACCCCTAAGAAGCACAGAGAGAAGAATAACTGCACTACCTCAGGATCCCAGATCCTCCCCCAGAGCTTCCACGGCAAGAGTACAAGACTGCTGTCATTGCTGCTGCGGTCTATGGGTGAGGCTTCTTCCAACCTTCCTCCAGCCTCTTCCTACTCTGTGTTCACACAGCACAAGCACAGGAAACAGCAATTACCAGTCTGTAACCATTTATTGCCTACTCTCTTTCAGAGAGGAATGAGGGTGAGCTCTGTCAGGAGGAAGGCAGAGGAGCAGAGAAAATGTAGGAGCATGCCACTACTTTGTGTCTATCCCTGGTGTGCAGAGTTTTGGTTCCCACTTCTTGTCTTAGCTCCCAAAGCATCCCAAAGACTCCCTGAGCTTTCATCTGTGTTCTGGCCACTTCCTGATTTCTCCCTTTTGGCCATGTGCTTCCACAGTTGCCCATAGATGATGGCTGCCTGCCATCAGGTGGTGCAGAAATCAGCTTCCCCTCTTCTCGCTTTCCTGACATAAATATGGTCAAATGCAAATAAAAATGAACAACTAAAAAAAATTTGTTACCAACTCATTAAGTGAATAGATACGTATTTCTCAACAGTCTGCACAACAGGAAAGGAGGTAAAAAACCCCTAGCACACTCAAGCCAAATTATACATTCTGAATATTTTCCTAAAATGGATTGTACCAGTTAGATAGCTGGTTAGATCTATTCAGGACCTTCTGCAAATGAGAAGAGTCTTGGCATGTGTCTGATCCTGGGCAGATCTCAAGTGGTATGCATTTCAGCATTTCTTTGACAATGAAGCTTCAACCAAAAATATTCCAGTCTGGTCAATTTATTTAGATCAAAGATTAAACTTACACTCCAATATTAGGAACACTGGCACATTTCCTGCCATTCAATTTTAGCAATGAGCTGAAGTTGCCCCAAAAATATGCAAGATGTTTCTTTGAGTCACCTCTTGAAAACATATCCAGTCATTTATTTAAGTCACAGCCAAAAACTGGCAGGAGTAAATTTGGAAATGCACATGATTATGCATCCACGTGGCTAGAAGAGCCAACATGTCTGACAGCAATGAGAAAGTTTAGAAATTAAGGTGTGCTCTTAGTTTTCCCTCTTCAACTCTCAATTGTCACATGCTCAGTCTTACCTTCTGATCCAGTTCTGGCACAGCTAAATGGATTATATGCACTCACGTGACACCAGCCATCACTCCACTGCTCCACATTTTGCACTGGATTATAATCAGCAGAGAACACCTGCCCTCTGTCTCTGAAACTACAGAGGCACTGTGAAGCTTGGTGTTCCAAAACACTACCCAAGATTTTCAGCAAGCCCATTGTACGTATATAGACAAACTATTGGGCTCCTACAGATGAATATATCGAGTATAAGGCTCCGATACAAAGCATATTTTGTTGCATTATGATGGCCACTGGAAGTGCCAAAGGGGTCATTCTGCATTCTAATGTGATGTTAACAAGGTCAGTATTAAAGGGAAAGCACCTCCCGCACATCGTGATGCTGTTGCAGAACAAAAAAAAAAAAAAAACACCTGCTAGACACTACTATTGTTAAGCTACTGTATGCTCATCAGGAGGCTACAGAAACTACAAAATAGACCACAGATTTCTTAGCCAACATTTTCAAAAGTTAATCGAGTTCTTAAAGCTATGAAAAGGTACAGAAAAAATGGAGCTAGCATAAAAATTTAATGTTTCATATTCATAAGTACGAGAAAACTGAACTGTATAGCTTAATACAAATTAAGGCATCTCTCTGGTCTGCAGTTTTACCAAGCCAGTCAGTTTGCAAAAGGGAGCAACAGCACTGCCAGCATTAGGCAAACTTGGAGGGAACTACTATGGAAGGCTTTGATCCTGCCAGTGAAGAAAGTATCTTCAACTTCTTGGAGAAACAGGGGATGAAACATGCCCTCAGGCACAGAGCACTCTGAGCAGCTAGACCTGAGTTTCAGACACACAAGTAGGCTATACCAAACACTCCTCTATGATGCAAATACAACACTAAGTTTGGATGACTCTCTCAACATATACCCAAATCCTATAATTCACAATGCAAACTCTATTCCCTGCAGGTTGAGAAGAACACTTATGTTTTCCTTCATTGTGTCAAAAGGAAATGACTTAGAATACATTTTTATTTTAATAAAACTTATGTAGGTTGGTGGTAGTCTGTTTTTGGTTGGTTGGTGGTTTTTTGTCCACTTAATTTTTGTTTTTAAATCTCACTTTCCATTTTTATGGAAAAGTTATTCTGGAACAAGGTTACCTCAGTTTGTTTGCCTCTTTTCTGATATTCTTTTTTATAACAAGTAAGTAATTAGCTCTGGATAAAAGGTAGCACATACATCGCCTCACTATTATGAAGTGGCTTTTTATCATTCTAATTAGATTTAATGTACAATTTTGTTCACGCACACAAACCAGTCTTCTGGAATATTTAGGTTTAACTGCTTGACAACCAGCATCAGCTATAGCAATATTTATGAATAATAGTTATTAATTGACACTGCACAAGTATTTTAGAAAAATGGAAGTTTATTCATCTTTCAATGGCTCAAATAGCAAATAAAAGGACAGGATAAGGCATCAGCCAAGACAATTTTCATGTGTCCAGTGGCTTCATAACACCTCAGTTCCCAGTATACAGGTTCCAAAGCAAAGTCACAATGTTAGTGGTTAGACTCCCTGGCTAAATAGACCCAAATGAGTACACAGTAAGATGAAGACTGGCTTATTTGCCAGTTACATGAGTAACTTCAATTCTGCACTTGGCAGTCTACTAAATGCACATACAAAATTCCTATTGATAAATATTTAACATGACAAATATAACTTCTAAGACTTGAGTCCCTAAAACGTCTGTTAGCATGAAAGTTAAATATTTGTTACCTAGTTTGCTTGAGCACATTTTAAACTGTCAGTTATAGGCTTACACATGTATAAAAAGTGTAACAGTTTGTGGAATTGATCTAGCCCATCTCACCACAGAGGAGTCCAAAACCCTCAAACATTCTGGTATATTTTAGTCAGGATGTAGCATACTAACCGTGTGCTAGTATTCTCGCTGTTCCGAAGCAACTGAGGCAGTATGTTTTGTTTGGGGATTTTGGATGTACATGTTAAATGTTTCTGTATTGCAAAGCATGTTTGATTGTTTGATATCAAGGTTAACTAGAAAAAGTAGCTACACTGTTCCCCATTTGAAATCAACATAGACTAAACAGTACAAAACCTGCAAAGAGCTTCAGCATAACACACCATGTTCCCATAGCTGAGTATTAGGAACACAAAAGAAATTAACCAGAATTTGCCAGACAACATCTTAAAACACAGTAGCGCTACTAGATTAGCCCCACTCCACCCAATTCCAGGGAGTTAAAACCCAAGGAACACCTAGACAAAAATCTATGCGCAAAAGGGAAGTTTCAAGGTACCAGTACATTAAATTTTAAACAACCATTCTAGGCTTAGATGTGCCATAGGCTTATGACTTCAGTCTTATATATATTCTGACCTTTTCGTTAAGATACCATACTGTTACCAAATTATGGATGACAGAATATGCTCTGTATTATTCACAATACCAGAGTATGGCACACATTTAAAGAACAGACACTGCTAGCAGACAGCTAGTTAGCAAAATCATTCATGTAACTGCACTCCTCAGAGAGGGCAGCCTCGCACTGATGTGCAGGGACAGTCTCCATGCAACAAAGTTGAAAATACACCCTTGATTAAGCAACCTGCTATGTTTGGGTTTTAAAATTAAGGCATATTCAAATATTTCAATGTAAAAGTTTATATCACTCTTCTAAATTAATCAGGTAATGCAGTTTTCCTCAATATAACTGTTCGCATATACATTATTCTTTTCTAATTTGCATAACTCCATGGCAAAACAGCTGCATGCTGCTTTGTTAGGTATCATGTTCACAATTGTAATTTTCAAGGCAACAAAAGACAAGATGAATTGACAATTACTAGTGATAAAAAATTATGCTTTATAAGAACCCACAAAGTAATACTTCGCCCCTCTATTCACTATTAAAGAAAAGACTGCCTATGAAACACTACATTCAGAAGAAATGTGAGAAGGTAGGCAATTATGAAATGGACTGAACTTTGCTTCTCTTGAAGCCACATAATTTGTTTTCAGTGAATTTGACTTTCAGTGCAGCTCCAATTCATGCTTTTAGTGGTACATTACATTTTCCAACATGTTAGGGTAATTTCAGTCACTTCAGCCTTCAATGGCATGCTTATAAATTATGGTTTTTATTAGTATGGTCTGGGAAGGAAAGGAATCCAGGCTTTTGATTATAAAATGCAACATCTTTCTCTGATCCTCTTAGCTAGGCTTTTTCTTTTCTTCTTCCCATTCTTTTCTTTGCTGTCTTCCATTTTTCTGGCTCTAATTTCTCTCATTAAATCAAAAAACACCTAAAAAAGATATAAGAATATAAATTCAAAAACATTCACAGACATGAGTTAATTTATCACTGATATTCACTTCTGTTGTTTAGAATAGAGTCCATTATATGCAACCAGGTGGAGCAAACAAATATTAATCCAACAAATCTTTGGTTCTGAAGGCCAAGTTGATATGGTGCAATCCTGCTTCTTTCATGGCACCATAATGTTCCCCTGTCTTGACATTTGCTTATGAATCTTGTCAGACAATTTTTAACAAGGATTGAAACAAGGGTCTTGTCACCAGTCAAGATTATCAAATGTTGTATGTACATCTTACTGAGGAGACTCAAGGAAATCAGGTTATATTTTGAATATTTTCAGTGATGAAGTGCAAAGGCTGAAAAAGTGAACATCCAAGCCTAGAAACATATTAATGCAGCAGTGACATACACTGAACATTTCATGGTATGTTCCATGGTGCAAGTCTAAACACAAAGTGATTAGGGAAAAAAAAAATAGCACTTCCCTTAAAGCAAAGTTATCAATCATATGACTACATAAACAATTTCTTATATCAGGTAACCTCAGCTACCATATTACAACCTCAAAGTACATATGAAGTTCGTTTCCGTCAAATGGTTTAGTAGGAAACGAATGTGACAACGTTGGAGTTACACCCCAGACTTTTTTAAGAGAGATCTTACTGACAGTTAAGGCTTTATGATTAGACTGCTTAAAACTACTATTTTGAAAAGCAGATTTTTACTTGACTCACAGGAGGCTACAGCAAATAATTATTTATCTTTATAATTTGATTGTAGGGAATCATCTGAGCAATTCTAAAACTTTTCTTTCTCAGAAAACATTTTCTAGATCTATGTCAAGGGACTTGATTCATTTCTCTGAAATATGGACAGTGCAGGGGTTGAAAAACTCCTCTACAGAGCTCAGTAAGGTTTTATTTGCAATGATACTAATTTCACATTGAGTGCAGCAAGAGCATCAACCTTCGTTACATGGAATCTGAAAAAAAAAATCAATGGAACTAAACATTTCCATCAAGAAATGAGATTGCCTTTAGATTTTCTGATGTGCACTAAGTTACTTGCTTGAAATTAAATCTGTGCTAATGGTAAGATGCAACTGTCAACTTGCTTAAGCACTGATACCACACTACAGTATTTAGCTGTCTGGCATACATAAGCTTCTGAGAAAATGCTTAGTGGGCCACCTTTGCCAAAGTAAGTGTCAGCTCTCTGTATTTCTCCCAAATGAGCAAACCCACTATTCTGGAATTCAGAGGCCAGATTTCTCATAAAACAGTAACCCAAGTTTGTGTAACCAACCACAAAACTTCATATGCTACAAGTAACTAAGAATACATGGTATTCACTTGTGCCAACAGAGCCTCATTTATGGCCTGTCAAACCCCAAATCTATGTGACACATGCTGACCTGGATCCCTTATGCCACCAGCTCCAAAAAGAAACCTGGAGCTCTGTGGTAGCCTACCATGTGTGTGCAAAGTCTATCGATAAGAGAGCTATTGAAAAAATATACATACACACACTTTTTTTCCTAGCTACTAAAAGATAGTAAAGTGGATTTGAAGAGCTGGCAATTTCTATACTGTAATAGATGGCTGTTAACTGCAATTATACATCAAAACTAAAAGATTTATTAGCTTTTACAACAATAAAAAAGAGCTGTATTTATCAGTTCTGCTGTATTTAATTGACTTAATTTACTCTACAGAACAGCGCACAGTTCTTAGTGTAGTTCTGAACACTCAGTTTCTTCAGGCAGATAACTGGCAGGAGACAACAGTTGAGTTTAAATTATTACAAAAGAGAACTCACACTACAGCTCTCATACTCAGTTGACAGCTCATACATAAGGATTCACATTAGAAAATTTGTCACAAAGGGCAAGGTCCTGCACCTGGGTTGGGGCAGTCCCAGACATGAGTCCAGACTAACAGAAGAACTCACTGAGAGCAGCCCTGTGGAGAACAACTTGGGGGTTTTCACGGATGAAAAGCTGGATGTGAGCCAACAGTGTGTGCTTGCAGCCCAGAAGGCCAAGGTATCCTGGGCTGCATCAAAAGAGGGCTGGCCAGCAGATCCAGGGAAGTGATTGTCCCTCTCTACTCTTCCCTGCTGACACTTCACCTGCAGCGCTTGGTCCAGCTCTGGGGCCCCCCAGCACAAGAAGGATGCAGACCTGTTGAAGCAAGTCCAGAGGAGGCCACAAAGATGATATGAGGACTGGAGCACTTCTCCTATGAAGACAAGCTAAGAAAACGGGGGTTTTTCATCCTGGAGAAGAGAAGGCTCCAGGGAGACCTCATTGCAGACTTTCAGTTCTTAAAGAGGCTTATAAAAATGAGGGAGAGCAACTTTTTACAGGGACAGCTTAGGGGAACAGTTCTGAACTGAAAGGGAATAGATTTAAATAATAAATTAGGAAAAATCTTTATTGTAGAGGTGGTAAGGCACTGGAGCAGGCTGCCCAGAGAAGCTGAGGATGCCCCATCCCTGGAAGTGTTCAAGATCTAGTTGGATAGGGCCTTAACAACCTAATCTAGTAGGTTGCACCCCTGGCCACGGCAGGGGGGTTGGAACTAGAGATCTTTAAAGGTCCCTTCCAACCCGAACCATACTGTGACTCAATGTGTGGTGAAGTTTGCCAACAGCTCTGAAAGGAAGGTTGGCCCATTGCACTAAACTACTTCTTTTGCCACACATCTGTTACTCGTACAGTTTACAAGGCTGAGAGTTATTCTGAATTCCAAGAACTCCTGTCTTTTACAGTTATAGTGAAATACTTACAACTAATCAATATTTTCATTTCTTGGAGACAAATATTCTCTCTTATTTCACGACCTTCTGAACCAGGTTTAATCCCTGAAAACTCATGAGGCACTTCTAGGCTTTTCAAAGCTTTTTGGGTTCATCCATTCTTTATTGACGCAACATACAAATAGGCAGATGGTAAAATGAGGGTAGGGAGGGCTCAAATCTCTCCTTACCTGCTTTTACAAGGTATTTTATTCTGAGGATCAGACAGTACTCCTCACTGTTCAAAAGCAGACTGTGTTCCAGTTACAGAAAATGCAGTAAGAAGTCTAGGCCAAACAGCTGACCTAAGAAAATTTTAATGAAATAAGATCTTGTATCATAAATGTATAATGACTCCTTGCAGTTTAGGATGGGATAAACTTCTTACACCTAACATTCTCACTATTCTACATGAAGTCACCTAGTCATGCACTCCCTGCAAACTACGGGAGGAAAGTATTTGAATAAAATTTCACAAAAATAATTGCTAAAATAATGAACATATAGAGAAACCCATGGAAAAGAGGGATAATGTAAAAACTGATGGATAGATCCTTTGTTTTAAGAGACCAGTTATTACCTTGTCAACATTAGCTCGTGTTTTTGCAGATGTTTCCACATAATTAACATTCCACTGATCAGCTCTGTTTTTTGCTTCCTCTACAGAAACTTGCCTTTTATCTTCCAAATCTGATTTATTACCAACTAGCAAAAAAGGAACATTCTCATCTTCTTTTACTCTTAAGATTTGTTCCCTGGAGAAAAAAGAAAAAGAAAATTAAGCTTTGCATGGAGTACTATTCTTAGAACACAAAAAGAAGAACTCAGACTAAATACTTTTCCATCTTACAGTGAAAAGCCACGTATTCCTCTTATGAAGCTTATGTAACAGGAAAGTCTTAAACCTCATTATGACATTATGCAGAATGAAGACAGGGACAGACAACTAGTCCTCCAGGAAGAAAGGAGGTGAGTCAGTAAGAAATGAAAAAAATAGAACAGAATTAGTTTAGGTGAGAATTTATATTAATAATTCATTCCCTTTAACAGTGTCATTTGAGAGCATTTACCATTGTCTTTATATTACTACTTTTGATTGCCATTTTGAAGTTATCCAAGCTTCAGTTTTACTGCTGACTTTTTCCTAACGAAATGCATGCACCATTTTTAAAGCTGATAAAATGGTCTACAGCATATTAAAAGAAAATCTTTTCCTTTCAGGAATCTTTCTTGAGTCAATTATATTCAGTCTCTGCAGAGATCTTAATTCAGTTATAAGCCAGTGTACAAATACAAGTTGTATATGCATATTTTTAAGAGCAGATGCTTCTACTGTTTCAACTGCTAGGATGGAAGGTTTAAAGTTGTAAATCTCAATACTACAAATCGTTTGGTACATAAGTCTTCAACACTTAAAAATAATGAAAGTTTTCTTCTAATTGGAAATGCATTAGAAGTATCAGGAAGAACAGTTCTCAGAGCGATATTCTGTATTTTGTCTAAAAGAGCATAAAGTTAGCAGTGAAATGTAACCACTGATCATGGGGCGATTTCTGAAAGACAGACAAAACGAATGGAGAAAAAAATTCCTTTTGCTGGCTAAGGTGAAACAAAATTTAAAGTTGAAGGGAGAGAAGCTGAAGACAACTAAGTAATTGATATTCTAAAGGGCTTTCACTTGGTATATGGCAGGATCCTCCTGCTGTTACAAAAAGCTCTGAATAGCATGTAGTCTTGTGGGAGAGGTCTACTCATAGGGCTGAGAAACTGCAGACAGACCTTTTTTTTTTTGTTTTAACCAACAGCTATGCATTGGAGGCAGCTTGTAACACTACATTTATGTCTGAGGTATAACTAAAAAGCAGCATTTCTCCTCTTCCCCACAAATACCAGTGCAAATATTTTAACAGGGTTTGCAGTTATCCACGAGTAGTTTGAAAAGTCCGTGGATTAGGAAGGTGGCCAGTAGAAAACTCAGTGCATCACTACAGTATCTATGCAAATCAGATTACTGGTAAAAACTAGTAGCTTTCAACACTAATTATCTAGGTGATCCTATATGGGGTTTGAGTGATAAGGTTTTGGTAGCCAGGGGACTACAAGGGTGGCTTCTCTGAGAAGCTGCTGGAAGCTTCCCAGGTGTCCAACAGAGCCAATGCCAGCTGGCTCCAGGACAGGCACACCAATAGACAGGGCCAAGCCAGTAAGCAATGGCAATAATGCCACAGGGATTATGTATTTAAGAAGGGGAAAAAAAAGTTACTGCATAGATATAATTGCACTCAGAGAAGAGAGGAGTGAGAATATGTGAGAGGAACAACTGTGCAGATACTAAGGTCAGGGAAAAAGGGGGAGAAGGTGCTCCAGACACCAGAGCAGAGATTCCCCTGCAGCCCATGGAGGATTCCCACACTGGAGCAGGTTCTCCTGGCAGAGACCTGTGGGCCCATGGAGAGAGGAGCCCATGCTAGAGCAGGTTTGCTGGCAAGACTTGGGACTCTGTGGGCGACAGAGCTGGAGCAGTCTGTTCCTGAAGGACTGCACCCTGTGGAAAAGGATCCACACTGGAGCAGTTAATGAACTGCAGCCTGTGGGAAGGACTCACACTGGAGAAGTTCATGGAGGACTGTCTCCCATAGGAGGGACCCCACACTGGAGCAGGGGAGGAAGCAGCAGCAGAAACAACATGTGATGAACTGACCACAACTCCATTATTCCCTGTCTCCCTGTGCCACTGGGGATGAGTGGGTAGACCCTGGGAAGGAGGAAGAGATGGGGGAGAGTTGTTTTTAAGGCTAGTTTTACTTCTCATTATCCTGCTCTGATTTTGAACGGTAATAAATGCAGTGAAGTTCCCCAAGTTGTGTCTGTTTTGTCTGTTACAGTAATTTATGAGTGATCTCTCCTCGTCCTTAATTCAAAAGCCTTTCACTGTATTTTATCTCCCCTGTCCAGCTGAGGAGGGGAGTGATAGAGAACCCTTGGTGGGCACCTGGCATAAATGCCAGGTCAAACCACCAGAGATGCCAAACAATTTAATTATGTAAAGAGTTAATCTAACAGCAATCCAGATAACAATATTCTCCTTTGCGACCCCTCTGAAGACTGATATCTCCTGAACAAATGATATGCGCCACCTTGAAATCTAGAATGTAAAGCAAAAAAAGCCAAAACATAAGAGCTAGACAAATTTTACTTAAAGCAAGGCCAAATTTTATCAAACTGCCTTTCAAATATTTAAAAGTATAGTCATTGCAGGCCTGCATTGGCATTTCAGAGCGTTAACAGGAACCCCACTGCAGACACTGAAGGAGTACACAGCTCTTCTGTTGGAGGTCTGCCATTCCAGCAGAACAAAATTCCACTGAAACAAACATCCAAATTTTTCTTGTCACTTTCTTTCATATCTGGCTCTTAAATAGCACGCCCTCAGACTACTCAACAATGTCAAAGGTACTTTAACTGTACACACATGAGAAAATTTTTCTGAGCTACATTTTAGCATTTAGGCTTCTACAGTTTCAAAGGCAACTTGAAAGGCACTTTCAGATTTGGACAGAGGAGGATTTAGTATCTACTTAAAGGGATTATTTCTTTAATTTTTGTTATATCAACATGTATACTGTTAACACTCACCTTTACTGGAAAAGTAGGACTTTTTCTAAAGCCAAAGATCATGTACCGTGAAGCATTGACACAATTTTAAACAGATTTGAATAGGTCATTTTGTACTCTAAAGAAGCTGAACTATACTTAACAGTCCTCCACGACTGACAGTACTTAGCATAAGCCTGCAAACATAAAGGCCTTCTCCTCCCTCTCTCAAAATATATAAACACATATATATAGAGACACAAGTAAATAAAAAAACACTAGAAGATAAAACTCTCAGTGTCTCCTCTCTTCATACCCTCTACTCCTCCCTTAAAGATATTAAACATGTTTTACTACTTAGTTGATAATTAAGTTGAACTGTGACAGTATCTTTGAGAAGCCTTATTTCAGTGGAATGTAGATAATGTCTTCTTATGTTTGTTTCCTTACTTTTTTGTCAAAGGTTATGGCCTTTCCTATTTCACTACACTTTGAACAGGTAAAACCATTTTCTGATCTCTTTTGTTGTTTTTTTAAATACAGCAATGCGTGATTTAAATATGCTTTCTCTCTCAAACAACATTGAGCACCTGTAATATGCTGCTGCCTGTATAATATTCTATCATTGCTATCATAAGAGTTTTAATATGCTGCATACCTGAAAGCCATCTTAAAACCCTATCCTGTTAAACCTTTATTACACCAAAAATATCCAGTTCCAAATTCTGGTTTTATGTTTGCTTACAATTAAATAATATGCTGATTTTGACAGGAAGGGTGAATGCTATGCAGACCTTTTGTCTTGTAAATTCAAAAAATTACATCCGTATCTTTTACAGAGAAAAATTCCATCCAAGCAAAATTGAAGGGACAGATTTACAGCAATCCTTTACATAAAATGTATATCTACTACGTCAATAAAAAATACTTCTCATTTGTGTTTGTGATGGGTTGATCCTGTCTGCATGCCAGGTACCTACCAAAGTTACTTATCACCTTCCTTCTCAGCTGGTCAGGGGAGAGAAAATACAATGAAATGCTCACGAGTTAAGGACAGGAGAGATCACTGATTGATTACCGTCATGGGCAAAACAGACACAACTTGGCTAAGTTAGTTGAATTTATTACCAATTAAACTAGTACAGTAATGAAAAGTAAAACCAAATCTTAAAAAACACCTTACCCTCACCCCTCCCTCCTTCCGAGGCTTCACTTCACTTCCGCTTCTACCTCCTCCTCCCTGCCAGCAGCACAGGCGAACAGAGAGTGGGGCTTGTGGTCAGTTTATGACATGTTGTTTCTGCTCTGCATCCTCCCCAGTGAGAGGAGTCCTTCCTCTGTTCCAGTGGGGGGTCCTTTCCATGGGAGACAGCCCTCCATGAACTTTTCCAAGGTGAGTCCTTCCTACAGGCTGCAGTTCTTCAGGCAGAGCTGCTCCAGCGTGGGTACCACATGGGGTCACAAGTCCTGCCAGCAACCCTGCTCTAGTGTGGGCTCCTCTCTCAACAGGTGCTGCCTTCTCTAGCATGAGCCTCCCACAGGATCACAGCCTCCTTCAGGCATCCACCTGCTGTGGCTTGGGGTCCTCCAGAGGCTGCAGGTGATATCAGCTTCACCATGGAACTCCATGGGCTGCAGAGGGACAGCCTGCCTCACCATGATCTTTGTCATAGGCTTTGCTCTGGTGACTGGAGCACCCCTGCCCCCTCCTTCCTCACTGACCTTGGCATCTGCAGAGCTGCTTCTCTCACTTCTTCACTCCTTTCTTCTCTGGTTGCAATTTGCTCCTCCCCAACAACTTTTTTCCCCTTTTTTAAATATGTTATCCCAGAGGTGCTACCACTGTTGCTTGTGGGCTCAGCCTTCGCCAGAGGTAGATACTTCTTGGAGCTGTCTGGCATTGGACATAGTGAAAGCTCCTAGCAGATTCTCAGAGAAGCCACCCCTGCTTCCAAAACCTTGTCACCCAAACCCAATACTCCGTTGTTCATAAGACCACCTTTAAGAGGTAGAAAGGCTTGTGTTGTTGATACTATGCACTTTGGTCTCCCAGAACACAATGCACATGCCTCACACTGCCTAAGACTTTGCAGACAGGCATCACCAGATATGGTTATTCTGTAGGATTTTCAACTGAAATCTGGTCATGTCATCTTTATAACAAGTATTCTAGTATAAAACAGCTGCACATGCTATAGCTGCTTTTTTGCTCTAGGTGTTGTTTCACTGGTTAAGGGAAACACATATGTCTTCTACACATGAAGTAAGAACTAAAAAAAGACAACTCCGGGAAGTACACAGTACTGTACATAAATTACAGGCAACCATACAAACCCTATGAAATTTTTCTCAGATTCATTACTTTGAATAGCTGCATGCCTCCTTAAAAAAACACTGCTTCCTAGCACAAGTGCCAAGCAACACCAACTTACAAAGGGCAGAAGTATCTGCTCTGGGGCAACAGCCTTTGTGGTATTCAGAAACACAGCAGCTTAGATATTTGAAGTGGTACAGATAGCAAAGGCATGGCTAGGCATCTGTTCAGAACATTATATGACAACAGTAAGAGCTGTCATCCAGTGTGGATTATCAAAAAGATACCACACAACAAAATGAAACCACTTGCAATCATTGCAGTGTAATTAGAATAATTATCTTGCCTTGTAACTTACCTGAAGTCTGCAGTTGCTGCAAAGGATTCCAGCTCTGTAATAGAGAAGACGCAAAGGAAGCCTTCTCCACTTCGGAAGTAGTTGTCTCTAATTGCAGCATAGTCCTCCTGCCCTGCTGTGTCCAATATATCAATTTGGACTTCTTCCCCATCCAGAACCACTTTTTTCCTGTAGCTATCTGCTTTGGTGGGCTCATAGTCTTCAACAAACTAGAAAAAAACTCTTAATGATATAAAATCATGCTTATACAAGGCAAATGCTTCTGTCTGAACACCAGGATATAGCAAACATCTTAAATGGGTGCAGTAACTAACAACTAAGCATATGCATTTAGGCCATGAGAAATACTCAAACAACTCAGTTAAAGCAGACTTTTCCCCAGCCCAAACAGTTTTTAGGTTTTTGCTTTCCTCAGCCACTTTCACTGGGGAAAAAAAAGTAAGGAAACAAAAAACTGATTTCCTTTCCTCTCTTCATCAGCAGCATAAAAAAACACAGAAAAGCTTGGTTGTTTCAGGCATCATGCAACTCACCTAAGTAAAGAAGCTTTCAGCTGTAATAACTAAGTTCTAATAGGTCTAGTGAACAATGCAAAAATATTCCAATTATATGACAGAGCATCTAACTGCTTAGAAGTTTGAAAAAGGCCAAATGTTACCTTCCCGGGTATCTCTAGGGGGCAAATCAGTAATCTCAAAACATGTTTTTGTCCCACTTAATTGATGTCTTTCATACCACATCACATACATTTAGATTCTTTCAGAAAAAAACTGGACAAATCTAACTTAACACTATGTAGCAGGCATCTCCTAATTTCTAGTGCAGATTCTTACCTCATCATACATGAATTGTAGTGTTAAAGCAGATTTTCCCACACCACCACTTCCCACCATGATGACTTTGTGTAAAGCCAAGGAATTCTGTCCTTTAGGTTTATTTGCTGCCATCTTTGGATTGCAGAAAATTCACAGGTATCAAATGAAAAAAACCTGGAAGAAAAATATTGCTTCATTAGTTTTCTTTTCCTCTTCCCACATGATCTGTTTGATTTGTTTCAAATCCCTACATATCTAATGACTTAATTTCAGTTCTGCTGTCTTCAGTGAAACCTATCTGTTTTTTCACTGGAAATCATTCCACAAATTATACTGAGCTCATCTATTTTGCTACTTAAGCAAAGAAATCTTTCACCATTTGCAAACAGCACAAGTGGGCTCACAGCATCCAAGAGCAATTAAGGGAAAAGATTTATATCTTGGTATATAGAACACGACATTTTCTTTAAGTGACACAGTATGTATCAAAAATACTTGCTAGTTTACTACACAAGAATTGAAAAAGGAAACCACAGTGAGCCAAACACTGCACACCACCATATCACAAACGTGATATGACAGCTGCAGGGGAAGAAAACAGACTTTGGAAGGAATTTCCATCTTAAATAGCAAGCATTAAGACACAGCAACAAGGATTATCTAGTGTACTTTTACAGAGAAAAGTAAGCAAACTTAAAACCTAATAAGGTTTTCAATAAGTCCATCAGAAGCCAAAAGAATAATCTAGTTTACATAGAGTAAAAAGATTCAACTTGCCTACAAATGTAATTATTCAGTGCATTTGGGATAGTTGTCTCAGTCCCATGACTGTTTGCTTAAATACAAATCTCTGCATCTCACCAGTACCAAAAGGCTCTATGAGTTAACTCACATAGTTTAATGTATGCTTGCAGAAATACAAGACATAACAATTCCAGTAACTTTGAAAAAAAAAAAAAATCAAGCATGTTAATAGTTTGAGAAGATCTCTTCAGCAGATCCTCTCACACCTTTGTTTCATTCCCTACCTATCCCAATAGTAAAATTTGTGATTGCTTGCACAGTTCTTAAGACGTGAAAGTCCCTGTACAGTGACAGAATGTACTCTCCTCCAGAGATTTCAGGTCAAAACAAGCTCTGAAGAGACACAATGACATCTACATTACATATATAAATACAATAAACATCTATGGAAGCAATTAAGAACAAAATGTAACTCAGATTTTGTTAATTACAAAGCTCAAAAAGAGCACATTCATATGGTAGCACAGCTCAGTTACATACAGAACTATCAGATAACACAGTGTAGTAACAAGGCACTATTACCTCATTGTCAAATGGTCACAATGGGTAAAAGTAATGTCACTAAAATTACATTCTCCTGCATAATGAATTACCCTTGTGTGCAGCTTAAACAATCAGAATGCGAAGCATGACAATTTTCTTAAAACTTTCATCAAAATCCCTAGTTGAGGCCATGCACTATGGTTTTGTTAGCAGTGAGGCAGGTAAGTATAAAAGTTTGCTGACTAAAGCTTCAGTAGAGATTCAGCCACTCTTTCCTGGAAGTAAAAATAAATAAATACAGAGCATTAAGGCCTTTTCTGTATCTCATGCTGCCATGCCAGCAAGTAGGCTGGGGATGAGCAAGCAGCTAGGAGACACACAGCTGGAACAGCTGACCAAAGGGATATCCCCATGCCATACCTTAGGAATAAAAGTTGGCAGAGACATTTGAAGTTTGTCAGGAGTGCCATTGCTCAGGGACTGGCTGGGCATTGCTTGGCTAGAAGTGAGCAGGGTTTTTTTTTTTTAAATCCCCTGGTGGAGAGGGGGAGCAAGAAAACAGCTGTGTGGTACGTAGCTGCCTTCCAAGGTTAACCCACAAACCACATGAAAAGCTCTTCAGATCACATCAGTACCACTACCCATTGTGCTGTCAAAGAATTCTGAAAATGCAACTGAAAACTAAGTCACTTAAATTGTTTTCCCGAGAAAGATTATCTAAGTGAAGTAAGTATGAGTAAGCTAGTGTACTCATTTATAGAGCCATAGCAGAGAAATACAACTTACATTACGTTACAAGTTCTTTTAAAAAGGAGATGGAAGAGAACAAAAACACATTTCCATTTTGTCTTAAAAATAACCATTCCTTCCTTTTCACTCAAGAGGGAGTACAAGAACACGAAAATAGTTGCAAGCCATGTGCATGATTTCAAACTACATTACATTTTGAACTACTCCATTGTTTTGTCTTTCCACTTTTCTCTTAAAAGGAAAAACATATCCTGAAAGTCACACTTCTTAGTATGTATTTCAGACAAGTAATATAAAGAAAATTCATCTGAATTCCATTTACCAGCTGACAACAGCACAGTTTGCAAAGCTTTGATTACAATATATACTCACAGAAGCAGAGAAACTGAAGCACTAGTAATACCTGGATATGGCCTACTCTGAGCAACAAAACAAACTATTCTTCTGTAAGTACTTCAACACTGGAACAAGTCTAAATGAATTCAGCAGGACCTCTGTCAGGTGAGTTTGTGCAAACAATCTGAAAAAATTCAAATATACAATAGCAATGTTTCACTGTAATATTTGTTGTAAATTAACCTACAGTCTTTAGGTGGATTGAGCAGTGTGAAAACCGATATTCTACTTTAAGCTGCAATTCAACAAGTAATGTCCCAGTGTGACAAACAGAAGTCACTGCTTTTTGTACTCTACAACAGTTGACACATGAAGAACCCAACACATTTCCACTTCCAATTTGATATTACAAATAATAAAGTAAGTGACAATGTTCCTTTTCCCTGAAAATTCTTTAACCAGAAAGGTTTTATAGCAGTCAATCATTTTCAGAAGTCTTGACAAAGTCCTTTCAAAGAAGCATAAGAGATCAAGTCAAAGAAACTTGAATTATAAAAACCTGACCCAACCAGTCAAAGCACTATTCCAAGTCATCAATAACTGTCAGTTAACAGCATTCCATTAAAATACTGAAGATAGTAAAACTTCACGCTACCAGACTTCAAATCTTAAAGACAAGCTTGTCGTAAATACTCTGCTCCATGTTGTAGTAGGAGGCAGCTCACGGAGGCCAGTTTGCTCCCAAGTTCTTCACAATCCAGTACAGATACAATGCTAGCAAAACTCAGGCCTGCTGACAGTAGAACATGTGGAAAGAGAGAAATAAGTTACAAACAATGCAAGTACAACGCAATACGATACTGTGCAAACAACACTTAATCCAAAGAGACTTCTTCAGAGCAAGTACTGTGCCAGAGAGAACCCTGAAAGTGATAAGTTTTAAGCTACTACCACATACCTGTTTCATGTGCTTTTGAAAAGCAAAGAGGAACCTAGATTCCAATTTTAACAGTAAAGCACCTAAGATGAAGTTTCACATACAAAGTCCTTCCACCCATAATTTATGTAGCCTGGCTTATTTTCATAAGTAGTATTAATTTGGGTCATATCTAGTTTCTGAATTGGCCTACTTTATAATTATGATAAAACTGACAGAGACTGTGACAAGAACTCTGTTGTATGAAGCTCAAGAAAGCATACTTTCTTAGTATGTGTACTGTGGGTTTTTTTATTATTATTTGCAGCTTCACAATGCAAAATTATTTGTGGGTGAGAAGATAAACATAGGATTATCCTGCAGTCAAATTCTACATCACCCTACAGCAGAGAGACACACAGAGTCAAGCAGGGTGTTGTCAATAGCTGTATCATCCATTTATGCAAGCCAGCTTTTTACCACACCCACTGTAAATCTCATAGCAGCAATACAGTTGATGACATATATTAAAAGGGTTTTTTTAAACAGTTCTTTGTGTAGTTCAACAAGTTGGAAGAGAAGCGAAAGCTTAACTGGCTCAACAACGTACTGCAACACCTTCACTGAGAAGGACAAGAGCACTGTCTAACCACCATGCTACAGATCAGTCCTCACCTCCACTGCAGATAAACTCCTAGGAAACTGCCCTTTTCCAACATACTTGAGCAGATAAGGACACAAACAAATGAATCTGACTGCTCTGCCGAAGTAAGCAATTCTCAAAGCTCCTACAGCTGCTTTACTGCCTGCTTGCAGATAACCATCCCCATGATTCTGTGCTCCATTTAATGGCAAGCTTCCAGTTGGAGCTAGGATCATTTCTGTAGAGCCAGGCTAGGGAGCAATTAGATTAACTAAGAATTGCAGAGGTAGGAATTCATGTTAGCATCAGCAATGGCATCTTGTCCAACAGTCTAAAAATCTAATCAAAGGACAGAAGATTAGGTAACTAAATAACTTTTAAGATATTTTTACATGATTAAGATAATATAGGAATTTGTAACTGGAGTTGGAAAGCTGCTGGCTTCTACCTGTATTAGTATCAAGTTCTCCTGAGTTTTATACCTTACATCAAAGCTCCTCTGTGCAAAAAAACACAATGTTACCCCTAGTCCTTCAGAGATTTAAACCCAATATCCAGCATTCAGCTCCACGCACCAGAGGAGTGAGCTGGACACTGGTTCTGTGACAGGACTTGGACACATATTCACCATGTTAACTTCCACATCTTGGACCACAGATTGATTATCCAGATTCACAAGAGTAAGATAATCAGGTGCCAACACAAAAAAAGCTTTGCATCGTCATTGACAATATTTTCAGGGCAGGTATCTTTGCAAATACATGTTAGGGAAGAAGAAAACAAAAAGCAGGAATCCTTGATCTTTCTTTATTAGTCTTTATTTTGTCCTCTCATCTACTATTTCAGTCCAATAAACTGAGACAAAAATATGCTTAAGGGTGAAAAAAACTGTATGGGTTTTATCCCCTCATTCATCTTGCTATCTGATCAAATTGAGAGGACTCCTCTTAAGCTGTCCTGTTTTTCAGTTGGCTTTTTCTTACAGAGTAACTTGCTCCAAAACAATCAAAGCATGCATGCTTCCTTACATATCCATGCCATTTGTCCTCTACATCTCTCCCCAGTGCAATAATCCCAAGGTCCATACAGTAAGAGGGAGCAAAAAAGTGGCCAACAGAGTAGCTGTGTACCATCCACACAGGGCAACAGACAACCCAGTTTAGATTACTTCCTTTCCTTCACAGGGAGTACTGTGAATCACAGGGTAGGTTTCCCCCTCTTCAGCCAGCAGTACATACTTAAAGAAATTTACAGAAACTATCATATCAAAGACACCTAAATCTCTGGCAAAATGTACCCAACACTGGCTAATGGTCTGAAAAATAACAAAGAACAGAGCATAGGATCAGCCTCATTTTCTTAGAGAACGAGACCAAAAGAGGTCAAGAAGCTATTCTGCCCGTTCTGATTCCCTGGAGTCTTGTATATGGAATGTCAACAAGAACAGACCAGGGAAAGAAAAGCATTACACCCAAGTCACATCATTACAGGCATAAATTCAGCTGGCATCTTCTGCAGCATTATACATAAAGCTGAATGCAGGCTTTGTGAATATGCAGTTGTCCTTAGCAGTAGGACTTTGATTTGCTGCAGGCATTTGTTTGAAGGGGACTAGTTATACACAGCTTTGTGTTTAATCACGGTTGGTACAGTTAGTATAGTAGATTCTAGTTAATAAGCAGAGATAGTGGTGCCCTTCAATTACAAAACCCCAACTTTTTATTGTTAATTTTATAGCCTACATAAACCTAATACATCAAAACTGAATCCCAGTTCGTTTCCTTTCCTTTAAGATTACATAAAAATTTGAAAGTTTGTCATATTAACCTCATTACCCACTCACTTTTATGATGAGTAACTTTCTTCTCTGAAGAGTGTTTTGGATAACAAACATCACTTACAACCACTGGCTGATATGTCATAGCACCTGCCTTTACTCTGTTTAACAGAGTTAGAACTTGATACGTTTGAAGGAACAGGAATAATTTAATTGAAATATATGAGCTGCCTGCACAATATTAAGAACTATAGTCAATATGCTTTGACCAAAATACTTTCACAAAAGGTAAAATTATCAATTACTGAACAATTAAAGAAAATTCAGTAATGGAAACTCATCTGCTAATCAAATAACTCATTTTGTTTTTCTAATTGAATAAATTAATACCTGTACTACTCTGTAGTTTAAATTTAGTACAATCTATCACTTCCAGAAACATTAGCTACAACTTACCGCATTCTGAAGTGAAAATTTATGGTAATTATTTGACAGTATTTTCTAAGTGAGTTTAAATATTCTCCAAAGTTTCTTAATTCCCCAAATTGATTCAAAACTCTCTTACCTCACATGACCGAAAAATTACAAGTTCAGCTTTCTGAGAAAAAGCACAAGAACAAGAATTTTGAAAAGTTACATATCAATGTCCCCAAGGACCATCAGGCAATATAATCTTATCTATTATGAAAAGATCACGAATTCAACTAGTTACTTCATTGTTTATTAAGTCTCGTAGTTTCAGTTTGGTTAACAACAGCAAAATTATACTTGAGAATGTATTGTTTGAAAACAGCACTAGCATACTAGATGCCAAGTATCCGGAAGACACTTCAGGAATGACTCAGATATTTCTGCAACAAAAATGTTCCTGGAAAAGCAGGGAGGCAATTCCAGGCAAGCAGAGTCTAACCATCCCAACAGCTGCTTCCAATTACAATATTGAAACCAGAACAGCAGAAACAGCCCATGACCCAGAAATTGATAGGATACATGAGGACATAAGATATATGATACCAACTGTTTTAAGAACTGGAGAGTACGTAAGTTTTTTAAGTTAGATCAGCATTATTGTAGTAAGTGTCATTCCATGGCTCAAGTTTAACTGGTGTTTAAACACACAACATCTGTCAAGCTCTGCTTGAAGTAGTAGCAGTATTTTATTAAGGTAGAACAAGTATTTCAAAGTTAAATAATCACTATGAATTATAAGTAAAAGCCTAGAAAAAGAGGAGAACTAACACAAATATTCAAACCTATCTTAGAAATGACTAGTCTCATTAGATAATGGATCAGGCCACCTGAACTTTAACCTCAGAACAAGGCAGAAACTTTCACAGTAAGTATTTCCCTCTCTCCTGAAAATAATCCTTTGACAGAAACATGTTTAACTGGTAACTAGGATTTATTGCTTCCCATGAGTTTCACAAGCAGTTAAACCACATTCAAGGTTTTGTAAGCCCTTCTTTCCAAAGCTTTCCAAGGCACACCATATAAGGTGCTTGTGTTTCCCACACCTACAGAACAAATTTACTAAGGTAACTGACTACAGATATACTAACAAAAGCAAAGGGTAGGAAACTGACTTAAGTTCCTTCTCTCAGCAGCAGCAAATCTCAGGCAAAAGATAGACATTTCCCAGCTCCTTGAGACAGGTACTTCAAATTGTAACCATATCCAGGTACTTAAATTGGAAAAATCAACCAGTGAACTCTTCATCAAGTAACTGAGGTCCATTCATCTCGTAAAGTACATCATGCTGCTATAAAGAACAGTGGTTCCCGCATGCCTGCAGCTTTGTACTTTTAAGACATCAGAAGAAGAAACAAGATCTCTTCAACAAGAAGTCAAAAGAACACTAGCAAAGAAGTTCACAGATTTGCTAAGGCTCCACAAGGTCTTAGCACCAGCTTTTGGACGTGGCCATGAACTAGGCAACAGCTTCTGAAGTGAGAATATACATGAATTCCATATGTTTCAAGTCATCATTTCAGCATTTTGTTACCAAAAAGCCTCTTTGGCATCCTGCAAGATCACTTCCAGGAAGGCACTTCCATCAGGAAACCAACACGTAAACAGCACATGAAAACCCTAACAAACTAAACAACAGGAACTGTCTAGAACAAAATCAAGGTCTTAAGATTTCAAACCTTGAAGTGTGCTGAAAAGAAAATGAAGCAGCTACATCACTGTCCACATAAAACACTGACAAAACACACAACACTTGAGCCCAGCTGTGTGTATCTGCAAGGCTGATATAAACTCAACCTGGCACGGTCTGACTGATCTTCCCATACCCTTTCTCCCAATAGCACTAGGTGGCAAAGCACTTAGGAAGTTGTTCTAGACAAAATTAATCTATACTGGTTTTGGACAGATTAGCTACCGAAACAAACTTGTTGGCACCAAAGACAGCCCAGAACAACACATAGCTGAGCACAGGGAAAGCAAAACTACAGCGCTTCCAGCCTATAAGCACTGTGGCAAAACACTGCAAGTGTTCTAAGATTCGTCAACCATAATCTAGCTCCTGTTCAAGATTCCTCACTTTTTGCAAGTTATGTGATGGCTATTAGAAAACATTGGGAAGAGTTCTAGATACTTGCAATGGTTGTCTCGACTGCTCCAGAGATCAGTAGGAAAAGCAGAAAACTCAAGCACACCAGCAATAAGATTGCTCTCATAGTTCAACTGACTGAAGTTACATTGTGAAATAATTTTGGTAATATACACACTTTAAAAAGAGTCTGGAATACTGTTTCTGCTTCCACATGTTCATTACATGGCTGGTACCCTATCTTAGTCTATTCTAATCATTGAGGGAACTTAACTTTCTAAGGTTGACAATGCTGAAGTGTTGCTTTAACACCGAGTGTAAGAGTCATGTCTTCTCTATATTTATAAACATGAAGATCTCTAATCTATCATATTAACAGAAGGCATTAATTTTTTATTGATTTGAGATTATACACCATGAGGAGAGAATTAACAGTAACAGCAGTCACAATAGAAGAATGAACAACTACATGCCACCAGCCTGTCAAAGCTATCCATGCATGGATTTAGTGGCAAGACAGACAAACAGGTACCATGGTATAACTGCTGATTTTCCACCATGAGCAAAACTCATGGTGGAAAAAAGTAAAAGCCTCTCTCCCCCCCACCCCAAAATGCAAGATTGAATGTACAGCTTCCAAGGATGAATTTTACTAATGCCGAATCAACAGCTCAGCGGTTTCACTACAGCTATTCAACTAAGAACTCAGGGAAGCATGTCACCTAAGACATGCTAGCATGGTGCAGCCTCACCTTGAATATTGTGTGCAGTGTTAGGTGTCACAATATAAGAAAGATATTAAGGTGTTAGAGAGCATCCAAAGGATGGAAACAAAAATGGTGAAGGGCCTTGAGTGGAAGCCATATGAGCAGCGGTTGAGGTCACTTGGTCTGTTCAGCCTGGAGCAGATTGAGGGGAGACCTACAATTTCCTCGTGAGGGGAGGAAGAGGGACAGGCATTGATCTCTTCTCTGAAGTGACCAGTGACAGAACCCGAGAGAATGGCCTGAAGTTGTGTCAGGGAAGGTTTATGTTGAATATTAGAAAAAGGTTCTTCACCCAGAGGGTGGTTGGGCACTGGAACAGGTTCCCCAGGGAAGTGGTCACAGCATCAAGCCTAAGAGAGTTCAAGAGGCATTTGGACAATGTTTTCAGGCCCATGATGTGACTCTTGGGGATGGTCCTGCGCAGGGCTAAGGGTTGGACTCAATGATCCTTGTGGGTCCCTTCCAAGTCAGCATATTCTGTGATTTTCATGCTGTGTTTCAAGTACAAGAAAGCACACCTGGAAGCTAACTTTTGACTGGTAAGGCAGGCTTCACTCACACTGGCACAGAGCTGCTGCTTCCAGCTGCTCTGGAAAGCAACAAGAAGGGAGTTCTCTTGAAGGAATTATGCCAGAGCTTGCAGCATGAGCTTCAGCAGTTCACTTCGAAAAGCAGTTCAAGAGCACTGCATTCAAAAAATTGTTCAGAGCATGTTCAGTATCATAAATTCAGAGGGTTTTTTGTCAATCATACTTCAAAAGGAATCTCAAACAACATCAGTTATTTGCCCCTGTAAACTTACACTTCAGTATACACCACAGAAATTTAAGGAAGATTGAAAGTAAGCACATTGACTTGGTTTGATGAAGTTGATTCTTTGTGAAAAGTCTGGAGGTGGCTTCCAAAAGACATATTTGAAAAAATATAGGTTTTCCTCTAAGAAAACTATTTTGTTAATTGTTAAAACCCCTATAATATTCCTTTAGAATTTCAGAATGCCAGATGTGTGTTTTCTAGAAAAAACAAATATTTGCATGGTCATTTTTACAGCCAGGAAGAATGACTTAAGATCCACACTCGCTAAAACCAGAACTCCACCCAAATAGTTTTGCTGCTCTATAGTCAGGAAAGTTAACTTGTCACAGAGAAATCTAGAAACAAGTGGTATCTGCAAAGCAAAACCAAATCACCAGGCTCACGGCAGGCTGCACCCAACACTCTTAGGGAATCTATATGTTGCAGGCATCTGTCTTCACACCAAGACAAGTTCTGATGCTGATAGCTCAAAACAACTTCTTTCACCTTGTTAGCTAGTCATATAGTACTGCAATAAAAATTCATATGAACACCCTTAAATTCTTTCAAGTATTAGCACAGACAGAACGAACATAGAAGCCTTGTTTGACTAACGCTCCTATGAAATTCTTGACACAGAAAAGGTTTAAGCTTGTAAATAAATAAAGCGTTTGAGACAAGCATTGCCTTCTTCTGCTTCTCAGTGCCTTGCGAATGAAGTTTCAACAGAGTAGAAATACCAAAATACACTATCCTTCACATTGTGTGCTAATAAAATACCTGTAACAATGAAGGATGCAGGAAACAAGTGCTCCAGCAGGTGCAAGCACATTTACATCAAAGGCCACAGCACAAATGGTGCAAACACAGAGGACCGAATGCAGGGCATTAACAAGAGACATCAAGAAGCAGGTACCACCAAGTTCTCCATCTCCTTTCACAAATACAGGCAAGTGTTCTCTCTCCCCACAGGCAGACTGCATCAATACACCAGCCAAATGGAACCTAATAAAATAGGAGCATGCTGGATTTGGCATTTCAAAAATTTCCTTTTATTCCTCTAAGGA